CTGCCAGCTTCTAGCGGTCGTGCCGCCGAGTGTCAACGTGAACGAGAGAACGAGAAAACGTGTACGAGGGGGAGACTGATATATATTGGCCGCGTTCTCCTGGAAACCGTGGATTTTGCATTCCGCGACGGAGAAACCTTACGTGCGCCTATTCGCATTACACAAACCACTGCGCGACGGCGCTGTAATTTATATCCGGACCATAATACCTTTGAGAATTTTATTAGCGTTTAGAATTACCTACGAAACTCGCGCGCTATTCCTAGAAGCGTCCCTAAATAATTTGACGATTGTTTGCCAAATATTAGACGCGCACGCACTGCATCCTTTGTTTGTGTAATAAGTTTCATTGCAATTTAAAATAAAATCAGAAAGAATGTCGCAGTTATACGGGAATACGTCATGTTAACTGTACAATGCGATATTCGTACGAAGATGAATTAGCTGCAAAATTTCATCACGTTATATCTAGAAGTTGTATAATTCATACTTCATAATGCGATAACTTGGACGTGAAATTTTTAACGCTTCTTTCTCCCTCGGAGCACGTTTTCTGCTCGCCGCTTTACTCAAATACCGCGCGTCAATGGTAACATATCTTAACGAGCAACGCTAACGGGCAACCCTATCGACAATCGTATAAGCCGCGCGACACGTAACCGCGTTAAGTTCTTATCGTGGATCGCGATCGAGAACAGCTTCTCGGAGAGCGCGCGAGGAGATAATGACCGGTGATTTTTCAGGGATCTCTCTCGCGGCCGGCACCGTTTATTTATCGACCACGGTCGACGCCGATCCCGAGAAACGCCTTTCAATTCCTCGCGCGCGACCTGCGCCGCGCCGCTCGCAGAGAGGCGCACTCAAGTTCAGAGCTACACTGACGCAACTTGCGCCGTCCAAGGTATCGATGATCGAGGAAATTGCGAAGGTTAAAGGCCAAAAGACTGCGGGGATTCGATGACGATTGAGCTTCATCTTCGTGGCTCGCGCGCGTTAACCGATATAATATAGGGTATAGGATCCTCTAGAACTTTGTGATTCATTTGTCTTTAATGTCGGAATATCAATCATTTTCCAATTACCAATGACCGAGCGGTTTTTTGCGAATTAAGCTCCAAGGACGCGAAGGCGTAAAAGAAAATCGTTCTTTTCTCATTTTCTTCGTGGACTTATTTTAATAGAACTTCAAAATTTAATTATTTTAATATATAATTATAAAAATAAAAAAAATTTTGTCGCTTTCCTTATATATCGAGATATTTATAAGAAAAGAGTTTCGTACGAACTAATCGAAAAATCCGCGGGTGAAGCCGCGAAACCGTAAGCGCGCGCGCGCGCTCGCACGCATGCACATGTACATAAGCGCACACGTTGGCGGTGCATGCCTGCCGGTGTGATTGACATTAGTAAGTATGCCATGGCCGACCGCTCACGGCGTGTGCTGGTACGAACGACTACAGCACTGCCCACACCACGCCACGTACGAATGCACCGGCCGCACTCGGCGATTCTACCGCGCGCTCCATCCTTCTAGGACACGCTTAGGAAAATTCTCGGAAAATCACGTCCATGAGTTTCCGCTTGTCGACGGAAACTCAACTTCTCAACGTACTGTCGATGTCCACGAGACAACTGTCTCGCCGAATCTCAAAGTCTCTATTACCTGTACGTTTTAACGAATTTCAACGATTGTTGTAATCTCGATTCGATAATTGTGATAACATAAAATTTTGACGATACGAACATGACAACGACGATTTATACGTTTATTTCCAATAGTGAAAAAATAATTGTCATAAGACACAAGGTTCTACATCAATCGGATGTTTTGAAAAAATATCAATCCTAATATAACAAATTATGAATTTGAAACACTAAAAGATGTGACAAACAACTAGACAATTGAAATTTGTAATTAGACAAATAAGTCGATCTTGTTATGTAGTTAATGAAATTATATAAAAGTAGATAAAGAAATGACATTATCATATTATATGTTCAGAAAATATTCTAGCAAAATGTAACGTACATCGATACAAACCCACATTTATACGAAAAGCATTTATCAATTTCATATCAGGTTGATAATCCGGTTATATAATCTTTTCACGTTGTGACAAAAGGTAGCTAAAAACTATTCAAAAGATTCTACGCATCTGTATTAACGTTTCGTAATGCCATGCTGGAAACAGGTTTCGGCGAAAGTCCTTGAAAAAATTATCTTCTCGAATTATTGATTTTTCATCTTTCCGCAACTATGTAAGGTAGCACAATAATGTCATCGAAATATTATTTAGGCGCGATTCACACTTACATTGTCATAAATATAATTATATATCATAAAAATTAATTATATGTTTCAAATTATTAAATCTATAAAATTAATCTTAATAAAATCTTTAATATATTTTTTAATTAATGACTGCACGAAAAAATACAGCTGATGAATATTTACGTCAGAATGAAATAAACCGGTTAAAAATTTCATAAAATTCAAAAAAATTGATAAATTACGTGTGATTATAAAAAAAATGAAACATATTTCATTTTCTTGAATAGTAATTTCTTCGAAATGAAAAAATACGCGATTGGCGCTCGGTTTGATACTTGATTGGTTCGCATGTGCAAAGATCCCCATGTCTGAGAATTTCGCACGGAGTCATCTCATGATACCGGAGCCGGTATATTCGCACGAATTGCACGGCAATAAAGATCCGTGCGTGTGTGACGTAATGTAACCCTGTTCCTCGAAGGACACGGTTTTCACCGAGTTCGATCTTCCTGTAAGATGGTATCGTTTCGCCAAAAACCGGTATCTGCACAGTGCAGCGAGAAAGAGCACCGAAACAAAGAGTAAAAAAAAAAGAGGGAAAATTTATTATATTGTAGAATAAATTGTCTCTAATTAAACACAGCAGTTAAAAGCATATAGTAACCGCAATATATAACAGCAACATTACGATGCAATAATAATACTAAATAAAATATATATTATTAAGAGGATTATATCACAGATAACTTCAAAAATATAAATAACAAAAAAGATTTTCAAAAAGTATATGAAAAATGTAGAAAGTAGTTCATGTATAAATGAATGATGGGACGTAGGAGACGTAGGAGTTTTTTAATTCTCACGGGCGATTAATTTTTTACTTATATGCATGTAAATGTAAACTTTATATACACGTAGCGTTTTAAAAGTTGTTCACTAATTTCATTAATCTAATGTTCTATCAGTTTTGTATAATTTTACATTGATTCAGTAAATAACTTCAATATGAGACCCGACAAGAAAAATCGAGATACAAAGACGATTTGTCAGCGATGACGAGATAGCGTATAAAATCCTGTTCTTTTACTTTTACTTTCAAAGGAATATCCGTCCGTCCGTCCATCTAGGTCGCCATCGCTCCTGCCTTCCGCGCTCACCGAGGGCAAGCCCGAAACTTTCATCAGTGACTTTCGTTACTTTCTTATCGGTTAAAAGTGAAACACCCGGCGCGGCGCGGCGGTCCGGCTGCACGTGTCTCTCTTTCACTCGAAGGCACGATGGACCATCTTCTGCGTGAACGGGGGACGCTGCAGCACGGTTGATTATCGCGTAAGAGTCGCGCCATCGAGAGTGAAATCGCAATAAGAAAAAATTGATTCGAAAGTACTCGTCGCGAGCCCGTTGTTTCCATATTCGGAACTTAACTCTCTATGCTCAAAATTCGGGCCAAGCCCGATCATTTGTATGATATACACAAAGTACGGGTATCCAAGTATACATTCTATTGCTCGAATAACTATATGTGGAGTAAATTCAAATACACGCGAGATTATCGATTCTGAACGTCGATATTGAAAGTATTGAGATTCTGTGACTTTTATGACTGCGTCGGACTTTTACCAAAATTTTAATTATATCGAAATTTCTGAATATATTTAGACGGGGAAATCCACTTTATAAGGTAAGCGTGTTTCCATCGCCTAGGATTACGACGAGGGACGTAAAAATATAAGGATCAATTGTATCTATATCGATCGATGATTTCGCATAGAGCTGCGATTGTATAAAATTACCGGTTCCTCGGCATAACTTTATCTTCACGGAAGTTTTATCGCGTCCTGCCATCCTTGACCTTCGTTCTTTGCAGGTTTTCAATAACGCATGAATTTGTCGTCGCACTGTGTTGTTCTCATTCATCAGCTGACGCAAAAGACAGTAATCGTGAAAAATCGCTTTTACTGATTTCTCATAATTCTAGTTGAGATCATCGTTTTAAAAATAAAAATTAATATATTTTGTCAGTCTTGCGGGAACACGTAAAATTTTCATTAATAAATTAATCCGACATCCGATAATAAGAAACTAATTTTTAAAATGTATAATTTCTTTTTATTTTAAATCCTCCGTCTTTTTTAACATCATTTACCGATTAACATCGTGTCCTCTTAAATGTTCGAAGCGCCGACATCGACTTGATTCATCGATATCGGTCCTGAAAGAAGAGAAAGTCTCGCGCGCACGGAGTCGATGTTTTTATTCCCGTTTATCCCGTTAGCGCCGTCGTCATTCACATAAAGAGAGATAACGTCGATCGTAAAACGATCATAAATCGATCTAACCTATCGATCCTCCTATCGAATTTTCATTCTTCTCTCGTTGTCTAGCGAGGGAAACTCATGAGAAACTCAACCCTTCCGAAGGATCCGCTGGTCGCTCGTCGTTTCTCGCGAGAAGCGCTCGAGAGAGTGAAAGTTCCTCGATGGCGTGTACACGTACGCACATACGCACGTACGCACGCGTGTCAGTTTTTTGGCATTGGGCGTTGGGATTGGAGGGCCTCGGTTGGTATCGAGGTCACCGGTACCACCACTACCGAACCGCGGCGGCGGATCCACGACTTTGGCGGATCGCATGGCCCGCACGCTCTCGCGACCGGCTGCCCCAAAAAGTTTGGGCCGCGCGACGCGTTCACATCGCCGCGGCTTCTCCGCGCGCGTCGTCCTCTTCCGGACCTGCGGGACCCCTCTTCTTACACCACGGTGCCGCGCGGTCGCGGAAGTCTCGCACGTGTATTTTCCCGTGTTTCGGAATCGTCAGTCATTCTCTCACGAAGAAGTGATCGTCTTCGTGATCGGTTCAATAATTCAGTACAGTGGTACGCTGTCGTTCTCTATCGGGTCTTATAACTTTTAACTCCGTCACGACAGTGCCGTAATGTGTGCGAAGAATCGAAGAGCATGCGCGGAATATTGCTATTAAATTTGTTTTGTAACTCTCTATGCGAACACCCGTGTGAATCCTTGAACAAAAGAATTCGAAATACCGCGTGGATCCTAGATTGGTGCGTGACTGTGATTGAAGTTGGCACGAGGCGTCGGTTCACGGCTGCCCAGGGAGTTTCTCTGTACCTCGCTTGACTTTGCTCTTGAATCGCCACCGCACGACAATATCATGTGCGCGAAGATGAGTGTCCTGCAAGGTCGGCACTCTTCCGTGTGCGCGAAGATGAGTGTCCTCCAAGGTAGGACCATTTCGCTCTTGCAAACGTGATTCCAACTAAAGCACTCGCTTGCGAGGCTCTACTCGAGTCCCCGCAAAGTAAGAATAACAGAGCAGAAAACAGAAATATGAAATATTTGATACCCAGCACACGCATATCAAATTAGAGTAAAAATTTATTAAATTTTTACAAAAGACGTTTCACCGCGTTTTTACGTTCGAATATACCTATTGTATACAATGTAAAATCCCACACACAAACACGAGCATTTGATGTACTTGAAAACGATGGAGTTTGCGACATTTCTAGTAGATACAGCTTCAAATATCAAGTATCAAATTACATCGGTGAAATGGAACTTTCTCTACTCTGAAATTTGAATCATTGACCGACATATCAAAATTCATCCCAATAATGTTGAACATCTGACATTTGTTGAAATGCGATCTTACCGCGAATTATTTAAATATCTGAATTTACCTTCAAATATTTATTATGTTACATATAATAATCTTTGTTATGTACATATAGTAATACATGAGGCTTAATAATTAATTGTCAAAGATTTATAGGCTCGTAAGAATACAATTCAAAGATAATAAAAAAAAGGGCTAATGAGTCAAGCACCTTTTTTTTCATCCTTGAATCTTAATAATTATATTACTGACGAGAAAAAATAATGCCTCATGAAAAAAAAACGAATAAAAAATATAGAATACATTTTTGTAACATTTTCAACATACTACAATTTCCGAAAAAAAATACTTTAAATAGAGGTCCACTTTTTAATTTGTTTTTGTAGTTATATTAAGATGCATTTGATAAAAGATAAAATGCATATCTATGATATTAGTTCTGTATCTATGTACACGATAGTTAAGCAATAAATCCATATGTGATGCAGTTGTAAAGAACAATAACCTGCGATTTCAATTTAAATCATCTATACAGTATATTTCACTTTTCGTTCAAAGGGCGAGTTTCACGATCGCGGTGCCATTCGCATCAGCAATCCGAAGTTGTCCGTTCCGCGCGCGGAAACTGTTTAAGTAGAAACCAGCGAGCGGTAACGAGACAAGTTCTACCGAGCTGGGAATTGATTTTCGAGGTGCAACGAGGTGTCAGTCCGTCGGCGTCCCCGTCGGGTCAATAACACCGCGACACGATTTCACAATTGCACGCTTCGCTAATTACAAATCACAATTGCGTCGATCCGCGCGCTGCCGGCGTGTCGACGCGGAATGCGCGAAAAAGCGCGCTCTATGCCGCCGCTGCTTCCGCGTTCGCTTCCGTTCGACAACAACAAGAGATCTGGAGAGCGAAACCGATACCTCGTCGCCGACGCCCCATTGACGAAACACCGGAGCGCGGATGCTAATCGCGTTCGTCGACTCAAAAATCTCGTTTATCACATCTCTCGAGCGACGAAATTCCGCGCCGAATCGAAAAATGTCCTTCCGCGCGCGTTGCAGAAATATCCACTGGGTTATTCCCCAGAGGAAGACAGAATACAATATCTCGGCACGACTGATTTTAGTATAGGTATACAAGGATGTCCAATAAATATTAATCCCCATGTCCGTTCGGCCGTGATGGTCGATACGATTTTATCTGATCAGCGTGATATACCTGCGGAGCGCGAGACACATTCGAAATCGAAGGAAACAAGGAAAATCAATCCATAATTCTGCCTCAAAGCATACCCATCTTCGCGTCGCGTATTCTCCGACAGATTACACGCGATCGCTATCGCCGATATACGTTGCGCAATCGATTTCGCCGAGGTTGGTGGGAACGTCGCGCGAACTTTTGCTCCAGATTGCAACAGAATGAGAAATGGACTTGAATCGTGAGAGTGTTCAAATTTATCTACGGTCGCGAAAAGAAAAAAAAAATTAAAATGAAAAATATAATTGTTCAAATCATCACAAATTCTTTCTTTTTTTTTTACTGACAAATGCGTCTTTCACCAACATCCAAGCAAAAAAGTCTATTATTTCTTGTGAATTAAAATTCTTGTCTAGTTTAAATTTTATCACTATTTATCATAAAATGTCTTCTTAATTTTAATAATATGAAATAAATACTATAAATATATAAATTTTCTTTTTACATATATTGTCATTTGATGTATGTGTACATTTTTTTTTAATAAATCGCACCTATTCTCTCTTGAAGCTTATTTTTTTTAGGAACTTATACTTCTTTTTATTCATTCATTATTTACTCATGAATGCCTCAATTTCCATTTAAGAAAAATCGATTCTCTAGATTGGCCGTAGGATTCGTTGTTAGAGGACCAAATATCCGGTGATTTTATTGGAACAAGTTATACAAAGAAAGTGTTATATTCGTAAATCATATCGATCATTTCCGATCAATAATTCTTCTTTGTTCCATCACTTTTCCGATAAATTTCGTAAGTTTTCCAATTCGATAGGGAACTGCACTTGGGACTGTATTTCGCGTTGAAAGTGTCGTAACGTACATGTACATGAGTTTGCGGACTTCGCGTACTACGGGCAGAAAACCGATTTTTCGACGAACATCAACGAAGTTATTTGCCATCGTTGTGGCCGTTGCATTGTCGTAACTGCCACCGCGTTGACAGATGCGCCCCGTAACATGTTGCAATCCGTGCACCGCGTCGTTCCAACGGAATTATGAATCGTTCGCATCGCACCGTTCAGCCCTATCGTCACGGATATGAATCACACCGTGTTATATTATAAAAATAAAAAAAATAAATCACGCCTTGACACGAATGCATCTCGGAGCGCTTAACCTTCATACGAGCTACACCTCAATTTATGTTTCCTTTTTTCTTTAAATTAATAAAAAATTTATTTTGTTTTTATAACGTGCTGCAGCACGTACACATCAAATTAGATAAATGCAGTTTTACCGAGTTGGTTTTATATTCAAGTATATCGTAGAGGTAAAGCAAAAAAAAACATGAAACAACAAAGTACTTTATACGCTTCGGAACGCTTCGAGACAGCGTTATTAAGAATGAAATAAAATATAATTTGGATTACGCTGTAAAAACATTAATAAATCAAAATTTTCTTTAGAATAATTTTTCGTAGAAAGATATTCTACATACACTACTAACACTAACATGTTTTATCAAAAACGCCTTATACGAAAAAAACCTTACATTTCATATTACATTTTTAAATTTATGTTTTATATGTAAACTAAAATTTTGTTTTTTATTAAAATATTTTTGAAAAAAAGTTACATTTGCAAGTAATAAAATACACATTATTACCGAACGTTCCTTTTCAAATTTGACTACCCTAACATTCTGTTCACACAAGAGTTAGTCTATAAAGGGCTTTTCTCGAGTCGACGCCAAAGTTTCACGGTGAATCGTCATTGTATTGCTCTTTAAATCACTATGCTTTGCGCAGCGGTTAATTCAGCGTAAGACTCGAAGAAAGTCGGAAAGTGACTAAGCGAATAAAAGGGGGGCAAGTAATCGCGCTGCGTTCGCAACTTCCGCAATGTCGAATCGGCGAACCGTATCGCGCGCCGACCGATTCGACGCGATCGACATTGATCTCAGAGTTCGATTCGTTGTACTTTTTTAAATCATAAAGAGTCAGACAATTTTCCTCAACACTCCTTCACGTTGCAAGCAATGGCAAACGATATTATCCATTTTTGTTGCATTTATTGCGATAACGAAAAAAAGAGAGGCATCACTTCTAGTTTATCATGAAACGTTACAATTTCTCCGTCCATTTGGTAAATAACTGATTATTCTCGATTGCAATTATTAAATATTGCAAAAAGGTATAAATTTTTATTAACGTCGTTTGTATGTACAACTGCGAATAAAAATTGCTTTTGTGTCGGAAAAATATTCTATATCAGTCGACGTTAGAAACCTGACAAATGCGATTACGAACGGTGCGACTTCCGCTCGGGAAAAAAACCAGGTGAACATTTTTCAGCGATGTCCCGTTAAATCGCGCATTCGTGGTGGAACGGGCGAAATGGATCTCGATCCTTTACCGCGGCGCGCGCGCGCGCGCTCGCTCGCTCGTCGCGCTTATGACACAACACGGTAGAGTTTGCCGTAGGAAAAGTAAGGTAAGGCCAGTGCTATAATAGAAACTTTCACTACGGAGGTTCAACGTACCGAGCCACTGACTCTCACTGGCCGTTCTCACTGCTTACCCGAGCATCTGACACACACATACCGGGTGTCTCCATTTCCCTGTACAATTCGCCACAGTTCTCTCGTCGCTCTCTTGCTCTCGAAAACAAATTGCGGGACAATATCTCTGCTGTTTCGTATGATGACGCTCCATTGTCGCGTAAACGTGAAAAGAGAAACGTCGTCGACGCGCGATCCGCGAGCGTGGCCGGGCACGAGGATTCTTTCTTCCGCGGCGGAAGTTAACGGAAACGAGTTAACGTCATTGCCGCATCGTTGTATCAAGAACTTTCATGCAAAGATTGAATTCTATGCTGGTTGAGATAATGCAGAATAAGTGTGTGTCCCGAATGACTGTTGTATCTCTACTTCTACATGTTTATTTCTTACATGTGTAAGATAATACAATGTCATATTTCTCTATTTGAGCATATCTTTCAACCAAGCTGCACAATATTACTAGCTCCAAACAGTAATATAGAGTTACAAATTTCTATTTCTGTTTAGTTATTGTATGTAATTTAATAGTGATCAATATTGTTAATATTGACGAAACTTTTTATTTCAAATTCGGACATTTAAAGCTGATAATATAATTGTTTGAAAAGCCTGCACCATTATTTCATTACTGTTCATAACAAATAAATTTCTATTTTTAAAATTCCTCGAACTGAAAAACTAAGAAGAATAATCTTTTCACTCTTACGAATTTGTATTACATTTTGCGATAAATCAGTCACTCATTGTTGCGTCTACATTACGATAGACGTTCGCGGAAGCAAACTTACTTGCTCGTTTGTTCATTGTTGATAAAAGAAAGATAGATGAACAAGATCGAGATTGGATTCTGACA